TGGAAAGCCGGAGAGCTTGCAAATCTCGGCACCGCTCCGACTTGGAATATCGACAGTTTGCGAATGACGCGTGAAGGTAGTTAACGGTGGCAACCGATAGCAGCGGCATTCCTCGTCGGCTGCCAATTGGGAAGGCAGGCGGATGGTAGCCGCAATGTTGGGCGAAACGTCGGCGTCGAACCGAATTTCCACGTAGATGTGCAGCCCGATTTCGCAGCCGAGAGGCTGAGCTGGACTGGCTTGTCCAATGACAGGAACAATGGCCGGCGCAAACGTTAATTCGGTCATCGTGTCCTTCGCGATCCCATTTCCCGAGACGCGAAAGTCGAGGTCGCGCGAGAGACACGGTCAGATGTATCCGCTTTTTTTCTGTTTTTTTCTTTTTTTTTTTTTTTTTTCTTTTGTTTATATCCGAGTACATGGAATGGTAATTTGAATTTGTTTCACGTCGGCTATGAAATTCCCCTCTCGTCCTTTCTGATTCCCCGGCTCCGCCACCAGCGGCCATATTCTAAAATAGCCGCACTCTCAACCAGCGGGCCAATTATCGTCCGACATCGATCGAATCGAAGTGAAACAAAAACTCGGCATCGCGAGTAACGTTCAGCACGCTGCTATCGGAGGCAGCGACTTTCGCCTCAACGTGAAATGATAGATATCGAAGAAATAACGAACTCCTCCGGGTTCGGAGGAGTTTTGCCTCCTCCTCGCAAATGTTAGATCTTCCGCGCGATTAATATTCCTTCGAGAAGAGGAAATAGCGGTCGGTAAATTTTTATCTAGGCGCGTCACACCGCGCGATGGAAATATTCTTCTTGGTGATTTCCCGCTGGGAGATGATACAACCGGGATCGGTTGTCGCTCACTGCGAAAGATCCGCCAGCGATATCGCCGGTTCCACGCTATTTTGTGCCCCGTCCTATCTGAAATTTCAACCGTCTGTGCCCGCGGATAGTGATAGGCGGCCGATAATTCCGACGATCCGCCATTGGGAAAAATGAAGCGAGCAACTGCTTCATTTTCCGCGCGGTCGGCCTCTGACAAACGATCCCGCGTCATCTTGCGCGCAGCGTGCCGCGAGAGACACGGCTAACGAAGACATTTGTAGTCGGCGAAACAAGCTGACGATGGCCGAACGAAACGACGAAGTCGGAGAATTGGGTCGTTTCGTATACTACTACTACTACGCAGTGTTAAAGGACAGCACACCGGGCTGAAAAACAAGGCAATTGCCAGGAGTGGCTTTCGTTTTCGTCATGTTCGTCCCCGATCTAAACTTGAGGCTTTCAGCTTAATGTCCTTTGTGACGGTTCTCGTTCTCTCTTTGCTCTTGATATCCTCCCGGTTGGCCGTGGAACGTTCCTCGATCAGGAGGGGAAACGACGCCCGTTTTCATTTTCATGACTCGGACATGACACGCCACGAAGGACAATTCGCTCTCGGCGACCGACCACCTCCGCCTGAAACGCGACGCGGACGTGGCTGGCTAATTGAAGAAGAAAGCCGGACGATCGAAGCGATCGAACGGAATTCCCGCGAACCGAGAAATTGGCAGCGCGAGCTTCTCCCCGATATTAGCTGCGATGGTTGGGGCGAGTGAGTGAGTGCGCGCGCGCGCGGGGGGAGGGATTCTCGAACCTCTTTGTCCTAAATGAGTGAGAAGGCCTTTTCATTTTGAATGCACCGCGAATCTAGGTCAATTCTGGCTACACCCGGCGTCGCTGCGCTACACATTGCCTATTTCGGTCCCTCTTTTACTCTCGGATAATCGAAGTAAAGTCACCAGGCAATGGCTTTTCCGCCCGAGTTCCGCGTTTTCTAGTACGCTCCCCTCTCTCTCTCTATCCTTTCGACCTAGCCCAAGGTCGCTAATCCTACCGCAATTTTTCTTTTCCGTCTCTCTCCTTTATCTTGATTAATCTCCTCTTACTTCGGCTCGTTCGTTCTGGCATTTATTTCACCAGCACGTCGAGATTCATCGATGACGATCGATGCCGGGTACTTAGCGATGGGATCAAGTCCGAGCTCGATATCTCCTCCAAGTTTTCGTTTCCAAGTCGGTTTCGAATATACAGTACACTGGCGAGTAAAAATATTTTCCTGTTCATTTTACGCAAGCTGCTTTCGAATCTCGTAGATCTGCAGATTTCGAAAGATTTGCTCATAAATAATTCAACGTTCCTGAAATTTGAAACCCATAAGCAGTACTCGAATCTTGCACGGGCACGTTTACGCTGATACAACGCGCTTCGAGTCTGCTTTCATTCCCAGAAGTAGTCATGAAACATTCAAAACTATCCTGCTTGGATTCGAGTATGCTCGGAGCTATCATTGGAAATATTTAAGAAGATAATCCATGATGATATCGCTGATGATAAGTTTACACTCCTTGAAAAATATGCTTCTTTCAGTTAGAATTTCGCCAATGGTGTAAAGATGAAAAATAGGTCAACTATTATCCTTCACATATACCTCGTTCTGTATCTAGACATATGAGGACAAAGCGAGAGATTCAGATAACCCAGGAGTTCGGATAATAAAGCTCTATTATTATTTGTTTCTGAATAATAAGAGATAGTAGATAAGAATAACAGAATTTGATCAATTGTAAGTCGATGTATTTGAGGACTATAATATCCGTATCTTGGTGCGAATAAACGAGATTCTACTTTAATGAGAGATATTAGATCAGTGTAGCATCCATACTCTGGCGCAGATAAATGAGGTTGAAGTGCAGATTGAGAGGTATTATATTGAGAGTACTATATTGAGGTACTACTATATCGAGAGGTATTACAACGGATACCATAGTATCTTGCTGCGGATAGACTGAAAGATATTAGATATCGTAATATCCAAGATATAGATCGTTATGACCAATATCTCTCAATATACGAAACATTTATCCGCACTTCGTTCATACGAGTCAATTAATGGTGAACCTCAAAACGTACGATCTCACAATTCATCAACTTCTGTTATTCCCGATGTAATATCCGAAAATACTCGATTTATATTAACATTACCTATTAATATTATTTTACTAATAAAAAAATTTCGAATCGAACGTTTCAAATTTATTTTTAAGACTACTTGACTACCCCATCTCTTTGCCAGTTAATGCTGAGCCTCGAATTGGCCAATTTCTCAAAGTATTGAATACTATTATTAATATTAGCTTTTATTATTATTTCATTAATAAAAAATTCGAATCGAACAATCAACGTTTCGAACCTACTTGTGAGATACTTAAGGCTCGTCTGTAGCTCTCCGCTAGTAGTACAGTCGATCATTGGTCGGACACTAGAGCCGAAACCGCACGATCGCGCGAAATTATCGGTGCACTCGGCGAGAATTACTCTTCGCGGCAATTATCTCCGGCGAAACGATTGCTGCTGGAAAATCCAAACATCCGGCGGGCCATTGTGTCGCGGTTAGCCGAGGGTTGGATATAAGGGTTGTGCTTTGTGCCCGGTTTGCCCGAGTATTTAGAAGCCTATCTCGCCTCGCCGCGAAGTTTATTGTGTTTTCTGAACAATAAACGCCGGTCAAGTGTATCGCGAGTAGGAAAACCCGGTTCCTTTCTTGCCTCTATCCAACACCGGATACAGGGCGGACAGATTAAAGCGGACGTGTTAATTAGAGAGCGGCGAATGGAGCAAGCGAGAGACGACTTTTTTGGT